TGAGCGGTGCCATATCTGCGCCCAGGATCTGAACCAGCGAAACCCTGGGCCACTGCAGCGGAGCGCATCAACTTAACCACTCAGCCACGGGGCTGGCCCCAAGGGTAATTTTTTAAATCCAGGATAAGCATGGTGCTCAGTTAGATATGTGTTGAATGAATGAATGTATGAATAAATGAACGAGTGGTCTCTAGGCCTCCTGCCCCTTCCAATCCTGCTCAGCCACCAGGTGGAGGCTGGGATGCACTCACGCCCTGACTCAGGGGGGACCCTCGTGTCTACCTGCTCTGGTGGCACTGGCTACACTGTACTGGAGTGACTTGTTGCCTTGGCTGCTCCCTGAGGACCGGGAACTCCTTGAGGGCAGGGCCTGGCCGGCCTCATTCTCGGAGGTGTCCCCATGCCTGGCGCCATGCCCACAGCATCAGTACTTGTGCAGTGAAGGAGTGACAGGTGCTCTGGCTCCCAGCTCCAGTCGGGAGCCGAAGCCTGGGCCACCTGGGGGGGCGGGAAGTGAGTCCATCACCACTGCTTCCTCATTCTGCTGCTGTCACCTCTGCTGTCACTGCTGCCGTTGGGGCCATGTTGTCCCCGGGGGGGTGTGGATTCCTTCATTCCTTTCCCACCTTGTCAGAAAAGAACTTGAGGCATCTGCAGCCCCACATGGCAGGGCTGGGAGGAGGGGAGGACATTCGAGTCTCGGCCTCCCTGCACGGCCGCCAGCAAGCACGAGGGCTTTCCAGAGAGTTCTTGCTGTCCTGGCCCCATGGAAGTAGAGTGTTCCACAAATATTTGTTGAAGGGTTTAAAAGACTGTCTCTCCAACTCTCAGAGTGCTGTGCCAATCTCTGCTCCACCCCTTCCCCGCTGGCACCACAGAATCAGAGGACAGGGCAGCCAGGGTCCTCTGATTTTGAGGCCAATGCCCTTGTTTTGGGGAAGAGGCACTCAAGGCCCAGAGGTCAAGGGCAGACAGCCCGAGGAAGCCCCAACAGTGATCATTGCTTAACAGTCACTGCAGTGCGTTCGCTTAAGAACTAGGTGTGGCCCAGGCTCTGGACTCCCGGTCCAGGGCTCCTGCTGGTGCCTGGGGCCGCCTCCCAGGGGAATATCAACCCCAGGACACTAACTTCCAAGACTAGAACTGTTACCCCACGCTTCTCCCAGATCTCTGTGCTCCAGCAGCCTTCTTTCAGCTGTTCACACCACCTTGGCCAACAAGGTCTGCTCAGAATAGTGTACCCATCACAGAGCCAGCAAGTGGCAGGGCCCGGATCCATCTCGGGCCTGCCTGACCTGGAAGGCTGGGCTCCTCCTGTTGGGCCAGGCTGTTGCCTGATAGTCACTACTATAATACAAAGTAGTCAGTGTCAAGGTCAGGGGAGAGGGGCTAGGGGTTGGCAGAGGTCATGTTGGGTTGAGTGGATCAGGGAGAGGTTCCTGGAAACAGCATTTGACCAGGGCTTCGAAGCCTGGGGCAGACCTGGCAGGAGGCAGAGGTGTGTCTGAGGGACAGCACAGAGCTTCCCTGACTGAAATGAAAGTGTGGAGGGGAGGAGCAGCAGTGGAGGCCACAAGGGACACTGCGGTGAGATGAGGGTAGGCCTTGAATGCAAGTCAGTGAGATTAGGCTGACTCCTGAAGGAACTAGGGAGCCACTGCAGATTCTTGAGCAGGGGAGCAACATACCTAGCAGGGAGGGGGAATAGCCAGAGAGGAATTGGGGGATAGAGAAAAGGTGGGGATGGGGAGTAGGGACTCTCTCTTAGTAACCAGCTTGGAGGCATTTACCAGATTATTATTCTAGGACTTATATTATCAGATTAACTAGCTGTTCCACAGTGGGCCAGAGATAGGTAAGTGTCAGCGGAGGAAGGAGAGGCAGGCAGCCACAGGACCTGGGAGGGGCAGACTGGCGAAGGGCACCTTACTTAGGCCTTTACTGTGGGTAACTCCAGACTCCTGGCGGGTGGGTGGCTTGATTGGGGCTCCTGCTGGGCAAAAGTTTTCCTTGTGCTTTCCTGGGCAGCCTCTGCAGGCAGCTCCCAGGCAAGTCCACACCCTGCCCACGGGCACCTGGGAGCACGTGGCACAGAAGCCGGAGACGTGGGTTTAAGTCCCAACTCTGCACATGCTCTCACAAGCCTGGCTCTCTCCCTCCGCTTCCTCAGTAAATCACCTGACCTGCCTACCTCAGAGGGTCACCACAGGCTTAAATGAAAAGCTAGCTCTGAAAGTGCCTTATAAACTGTAAAGTGCTGAACCAACATGTTCTTCTATTTTCCTTTGAGTAGGCCCTACCCTGAAAAGAACATCTTGCCCCTGGAAGGGTCTTAAATAAAGATCTCAGGGGCTGGCCCGGTGGCGCAGTGGTTAAGTGCGCATGTTCAGCTTCGGTGGCCCGGGGTTCGCTGGTTTGGATCCTGGGTGCGGACATGGCACCACTTGGCACGCCATGCTGTGGTAGGCGTCCCACATATAAAGTGGAGGAAGATGGGCATGGATGTGAGCTCAGGGCCAGTCTTCCTCAGCAAAAAGAGGAGGATTGGCAGCAGTTAGCTCAGGGCTAGTCTTCCTCAAAAAAAAAAAAAAACACAACAAAATAAAATAAAGATCTCAGCCACATGTGCAGCAAGGAAGGCAGCCCGGCCCTGCCCTAAGCCAGAAGCCTTAACTAGGGCAGGACTGCGGGGACTCTTCCCAGAAAGTGGGGGTTGGAGGCCTCTCAGCCACAGGGCTGCACCCAAGACCCTCATTCTGCTCTGCAGCAGACCGCCACGGTGGGGGCCACATCAGGTGCAGAGCAAAGTCCTCCCAAGCATCTTTAACGGGCCTGCTGGAGCTGCCTCTGCCTTCTGGCCCAGAGAGCCTAGGGGGCGTTCTGCTTTCTACTCTCCAGGAGACCTGAGAGTGGAAGTGGCTGGGGGCCTGCTCTGGGAGCCCACAAGCTCCTGGGCCTAGCTCTGAGTGAATTCCAGGCAGTAAGCGGAGGGTGCAACTGAACACCTTCCGTGCACCAGGCCACGGGCAAAGCTCTCCTCATCTGTCACACCACTAACGACTTTGGGCAAGCCGTACACTCTCTGAGCTTCGGTTTCCACAGCTGTTAAATGCGTGAGCTGTCCGATGCCGGATGATCTACATTTATGTCTGCTTCCCAGGGCTCTCCCAGCACCTGGCTGTGTGCCTACTGGAGCATTTCTTGCTTTCATTCATTCAGTGTACGTTCACTGAACAGCCCCCATGTGCTGTGCTGGGAGTAGGGGGCTTGTGAGGATTCAGAGGTGAGTAAAACAGGGCCGTGTGCCCAAGGGACCTCACAGCCTAGCAGGGCAGATGCTGCTAAGCAGGGCCACATCAAGGTTCTGTGGGTCGTCCCACCTGCTCCTTCTCTCCCCTCCTCTCTGGTTGCAGCCACGCTTCCTACCAACCGCCAAAACTTTGTTCATGCCGTTGTGCCAGCACGGAATGAATGAATTTCCTTTCCATTTCCTTCCCAGCCCACATTTTAAGGCCTAGCTCCAATGCCACTGCCTCCGTGAAGCCTTCTAGGATTCTTCTAGCCCAAAGCAAATTCTCCCCCTTTTAAGCTCCCGGGCACTTGCCGCCTGTCCTTGGGATATTTGTCTCACTCTTATATTCTAGTTGATTGTGCCTATGTCTTATCTTTTGGAAGGCAGGACGGTGTCTGATTCATTTCAGGGGCCCCAGAACAGTGCATAGGGCCTGGCGAAGAAAGAATGACTGGAGGCATGTGACTGGCTGCTGCCATGGAGGTAGGATTAGAGTCGGGGAACCCAGGCAGAGGGGGAATGCTGTTGAGCTTAGAAAGGAGGAAATGGCTGCAGGGTATGGGGAAGAGGCTGTGACTGAGGCATGGTAGGACAGTCAGATGGCACGGAAGCTGCTGGGCTGCAGCTGCTGGGGCGTCCATCCCACAAGTCAGACTTACAGCTGCACGGGGAACCAGTGGCTCTGGCCCCTGCGCCTGGCAGGGGGCAGATAAGCTGACAGCAGGCCTGCTTTCATTAGGCCTTCCTTCACGCGGCTTTCACTGTGTCTCTCTCCATGTCCACCCTGCGTCCCCATTCAGAGACCGAAGCCTGGCCAGGCAGGTAGCACAGGGGGACTGTGCAGGGCAGACTAGGGAACGGTCCCAGAGGCGAAGCCTGTGTTAGCACTGCATGGAGGGAATCACGCACATTCGCTCACTTCATCCTCTCCTGCTGACTTGAAGTCCAGATCATCCACCTCCACTGAGTGAATGAAGCAGCTTGGATTCAGAGAGGTGAAGTCCCTTGCTGGTCTCCCAGAAAGAAGCATGGGATTTAGGATTCAAACCCAGGTCTTCTGAGTCCCAGAAAGGAAGCTGTCTTCCAAGCCAGCGGAGGGTGTGAGCATCTTAGGAGCAGCTCTCAGAGAGCTGGGAAGTTCAGAAGCAGAGGCTGGGGAGACGGGGTCGGTGCTTCTTTGCCCCCTCAGCCTGCCTGCTCCACAGGTGGAGGCGAAAGGCTGTCAACACTGCAAGGCCCCAAGTTAGGATTGGCAGCAATGGAACAGGAGGGCAAGGGCCCCAAAGAGAAATGGCCAATACCACTGTTTGCCGAGGCAGGGCAATGGCTAGGCTTAGGGGACCTAGCCCCCAACAGCAGCACGAGGCAAGCTCCCTACCATCTTGGAGTGGGGAGAGAGAGGTCCTGCACCATGGGGACCTGATCTTAGAAGAGCTCATTAGACAGCACCTAGATGGGGAAACTGAGACCCAGAGAGCTCAGGTGTCTCATCCAAGGTCACACTGCATGCTAAGGGTAAATATGGGACTAGAACCCAGACGTCCTGCTCTTCTAATGTCCACGGGCCTCGGCCCAGGTGGGCACTCTTGCTGGCCTCCTGCCCAGGTCTGCGACGTCGGGAGGAAGTAGGGGGCAGGCGTCAGAGGCTTCTGCGCTCAGCGCATCGCTCCCCACTCCGCCCCTCGGGATCCTTTAAGAGGCGGGGCTTGGCCGCCAGCCCCGCGGCCCGGGCAAAAGGCTGGGACTTTACTCCGGCGGCGGCGGAGGACGAGTCCGTGCTCCATCAGCTGCTGCAACCGCCGCGCCCGAGCCTGAGCCACGATGAGCGGCAGGGTCGGCGATCTGAGCCCTAAGCAGAAGGAGGCGCTGGCCAAGGTGAGCCCTCAGCCTGGTCCGGCCCCCGTCCTGGGCCGTGGCCCTCGCCCTCTGCGGCAGCCAGCCTAGAAGGGGCTGGATGGGGGGCTAGCGACCATCCGCGGCGGGCGGGCGGCGGAGGGAGCAGCATCCGGTGGCACCTGGCGCCCCGCGCCCCGCGCCCCGCCCCTCCTCCCTCCACTGGCCGAGGGGGCCCGGGAAGTTTGGCCACCCCAGCCCCAGCCCCGAGCGAGCCCTTGGCGGTGCCACCTGGGAAGAAGTGGTTGCTTGGAAGCCCTCGGAGGCAGCTGAGGGCACAAAGGCAACATTCATTCTGGGGACTGGCAGCCGGGCCCGGGGGGCAGGGGCGGGGGCAGGGCCCCAGGTTTCCTCCCATTTCCGGGAGGTTTTCCTCTTGCGGGGGCAGTGGCAGGATGGCAAGGGGCCTGGGCAGCGCCTTAGGAGACTTGGATAGCCCGTGCTCTGGCATCAAGTCGCTCTGCGACCTTGGGCAAAACCTGGCCCTTCTCTGTTTGCTCCTTGAGGAAATGAAATGAGGAGGTTGGACCCGATGATGTTGAAAGCATCACCCTCGTGTGTAAAGTCTCGGATCCTGCCCGTGACTCACTGGGTTGGGGTGAGTTTGAGCTGAGACCAGCTCACCTCGCTCCTGCAACCCAGGCCCCTCCCTCGCTGGGACTTGGGCTGATGCTCTTCAGAAGGCAGGTAAGCCTGCCTTTGCCTTGGCACCTGGGCAGAGAAGGGGACAACTGTTTGAGGGCTGGACCCGCCGGCCCCCCGGGTCCCCACCTGAGCCTCCTCTTTTCTGTCGCCCTTGGGGAGAGGGGAGCTTGGCTGTTTTTGGAGCCAGAGCCAATTGGGTCCAGTCTCAAGGTTGGGAAGCTCCACAGCTGGGCAGTTTTCCATTGCTGGGAAAGGGGGCTGGGGGCCAGCCATCTCCTTCCATGCCAGTGGGGCCAAGGCACCAACCCCATGAAGGCTTTTCCCCGGGCTGGGCTTCCCCTAACCCCGGAAGCCTGGAAAGGGAGGTTCCAGATTTTACTGCTGACCTGCAGGGAAAGTCAGGCAGAGAAGGGATTAGGTGGTGATTAAACTGGAAACCAGGGGCTGGGGAGGGTCCTTGGTAAGGGGTGGCCTCATGCCTGGGTCCTGGATGAGCAGTTTCCTTGGGAGTCTGGGGCCTGTCTGGGGGATAGGATGGTCTGAGTCCCTGGCTGACCTAGGCAAGGGGCAGAGGTGGCAGGTCCTCATTGGCCCCGCCTGTGGCCCCCCTATAGGTCAGTGGCTAGGGAACGGTGAGTGGCTGGGAGCAGGAGGCCTGGCAAGGGCGCCTGCTCCCCTACAGGACAGTGAGCAGGTGGAGGTGGGTGTGGCCATCCCTCGGGGTCACTGTCCACCTTCCTTGTTTGGCATTCTCTGCACTTTCGCCCTTCATGGCCTGTCACTGGAACTGTTCCCTTCACCTGGATTGCCCTCCTCCTGCTGCCTTTGAAGTCCTTCAAGCCCAGCAAATGCCATTTTTTAGATGAAGTCATATGAGACCAGTGTCTTCCTGGCCCCAGTCAGAATCAAACTCTTCCTTCGCTCTACTCCCCCAGCACAATGCTCGCCATTCCGTTATGAAGGCGGCAGAAGACCAGAGAGTGCATGCTCTGGCCTCCCCAGACCCGGGTTTGCATCCCAGCTCTGCCAGTTACTAGCTGTTTGACCTTGGGCATGTTACTTAGCCTCTCTGAGCTCTAATTCCTTCATCTGTAAAATGGGGACAGTCATACTTCTGGGGACGCTGCATGAGGCGTGAATAAGTGCCAAGTTCAGTGCCAGGCACACGGAGAATGCTTGGTGAACTGACAGCTTTTTCTGTGGCACGTCCGAGAGTGTCTACTATCAGTTAGCTGGGAACACGTCTGCCTGCCCACCACACTGGAGTGTGTAAGCGCGCGCAGCCAAGCAGGGCAGTGACTTACTCCCTTCCCACCTCCTCCCTGCTACCCAGCTCCCACTGGCACTCACGGCAGACAGAGTGCCCCGTGCAGCCCAGGTGCTCAGCCAGCGTCCGCAGAGTAGACCCGTGTTGAAGAGGGGTCCAGCAAAGCCCCTACCGAGAGTCCTGGGCAGAGGGCGGTCAGGGTGGGACCTGCCACTCACCCAGCTGCCTCTCCCTACAGTTTCGGGAGAATGTCCAGGATGTGCTGCCTGCCCTGCCGAATCCAGATGACTATTTTCTCCTGCGCTGGCTCCGAGGTGAGGGAAGCGGGGCTGCGGGAGGCTGGGGCAGGGGCTTGTTCCAGGTAAGAGAATGGCACCCTCTGGAAACCCTGCCCCGGGCAATCCGAGAACCTGCAGTATTCAGTCTTTAGAGCCAAAAGCGCCCTTGGCGATTACATAACCGCACCCCTCCTATTGGATGGATGGATAATGGACACTGAAGCTCAGAGAGGTGAAGTAACTTGCCCCAAGGCACACGGTGCTTAACCTGCAGGCAGAGAGAGGACTAGAGCCCAGGTAGGCAAACTCCCAGCCCAGTGCCCTTTCCATCCACTCGATAAATCCACTCTGCTGATGGACTTGGGGAAACGGGTTGAGGAAAAGTGGAGAAGGGCCCCAGCCATGTGGGAAGTTGGAGGCAGAGCCAAGTTTAGAACGAGAGTCTTGGCCCCTGGGAGAGGCTGGCCCCCTCTGTGGACTGTTGGAATGGCAGGCCGCCCGCTGCCAGCCTTTTAGGTGGCTTGAAGGAGGGGCAGATTACATGGGGAACATGGGGGGCTCAGCCTCACCTCAGATGACAAGACTCCCCTCTCGCCACCACCAGGCTCCAGAGCCCCGAGTTCAAGTTCCCGTTCTGCCCCCGTGAACGTGTGCCCCAGGCTCCTCTCTGGGAGAGCAGGACCAAGCCAGGGTGCCCTGCCTATTGCATGATGCGACGCAACGCGACAGAGCTCCTCGCGCATGGTGATGAAAGGGCCACATTTCTACCGGCGTCAGGCTCAAACTCAACCCTGTGACCCAACTCCTGAAATCTTTCCATTCTTTTCCCTCTTCTCCTCTCCTGTGATTCGTGTCACGTGCCACCCTCTCTGGTTCTTGTGACACACTTTTTTTATTTTGTAGAAACTTTATTACCAGACATAGAAGTAATGGAGAAAATTCCACTGTTAGATTAGCAGAGATTAAATTGTGATGTAGCCTCATAGCCCAAAATATTAAAGTACAGATCGTGCCCAATGATTATTAATAGACACAGACATACACATACATACCCTAGGGGTCTTGGGACAGGTGAAGAGATGTGTTTTCCTGTCCAGAAATTGCCTAGAGCTGGCACCCCAGGACAGGTGCAGCCAGGAGAGCCACGTGGGGCCCTGTGTGTCTCTGGAAGTGCCACTTGCTCTTTTCCCCCAAAAAACTGCAAACCCACCCATCCCCCCAGCCCACTCAGAGAAGGTGGAGGGGCAGTGCGGGGGCGGCAGTGGAGTCAGTCCAGGGCTGGAGGATATTTTGGCCCAGCTGAAGGGCTGTAGCTAGAAGGGGGTGGGTGGGGAGCGTGGGAAGATTGTGCTGCCTTAAAGGGCCAGCTGCAAGGTGATCAAACAAACCGCTGAGCCACCGTGAGGTGAAGCGCCGCTTCAGAGAGCTGTTGAATAGCAATGTAGCTTTTTTCTAGGAGGAGGCCAGCCTGGGGTTCTGGCAGCTGGGTTCCCAGGCACCCCCAATTCCCCAGTCCTGGGATAACCCCTCTCTTTGTAGGAATACCAAAGAGTGGGCTCATCCTCATTTGCTAGGTGAGAAAACCGAGGCTCAGAGAGGGGAGGGCACTTACCCGAAGGCACACAGCTAACGCAAAGCAGAATCAGAGCAGAAACCTAGGGCCCCAGATTCCCAGGCCTGCATCCTCTCCAGTAAGCCACAGCGGCCCCCTGAAGCCAAGCTCCGCCACTTCAAACAGGAGTGTCTCGTCTGCACTTTATTTGTGCCTCACTTTCCTGGGCAGGAGCTCAGGCCTGGTCAGACTCTACTGTGAATTTCAATTAGGCTTTTTCTTGTCTCTTTTTTTTTTTAAGAAACATTTTCTCTTTCTCCCTTTGATTCTAAAGGAAACGCTTGCAAGGCACACGCCAGCGGAACGTCTGTCTCTAAGCTAGGTGTGAGCCAGGGTCCCACGCTTCCCCACTTCCCCCGACGTGGGCTCAGTTTTCTGCTGGCCCCCAGGCCTGAGAGCAGGCACGCACATCTCCGCTGCTTCCCCTCGACTGGGGCTGAGCTCTGGGCAGCCCAGAGGCCAAGGAGGGTCAGATGGCACGATAAAAACAACGACGTGGTGGGAACCCTATGAGGGGGCAGAGCAGGTCTGAGTCCCCTCGTTTTCCAGGACTAGGAAGTGGTCAAATAAGGCCCCAGGACAGCTGCTCCTAGGCCGGCTTTCTCTGGCATAGCCGTGCTTTGAGCTGCCCCTGAGCAGGGCAGTGGAGCCCTGGAGAGGCCTGACTCAGCAGGTGAGGGGAGACACCAGGCGGGGTACTGCCAGGGGCAAGTGGCAGATGGCCCTCAGAGAAGACCCTGGATGTTGGGCCCTGGCAGAATAGGGTTCCCTGGAGAGCCTCCCCAAGACAAGGGGGCTCTCAGTTCACCACCTCTCCTGTTCCCTGGGAAGCTAGGGGCTCTCACAGCAGGGGTGTCCCTCCTCTGGAGGATTCCCGCTTTCACGGTCCAGCCGGGCTCCCCCATCCTGAGAGCATGTTGCCTTGCATTCTGCAAGTGTTTCTAGCTCACTGGATGATTCGGTCAGAGATGTACAGGATCTTGTCCAAGGTCAAACAGGGAGAAGATGGAGGGCTGAGATGCAAACCCAGATTGTATTCCTCTACACGTTGCCCCCTGCCACCACGATGGCACACGGAGGGTGGCAGTCGGGAGGAACTTCCCAGGAGTGACGGCTGTTGAGGATGACAGGTGTGGCACTGGTCGGATCGCTTGATGCACCCTTTGGGCGCAGGAGAGTGGACTGGATTTCACGACAGCAGAGTCAGGGAATGTGCTCGGCCACTCCCAGAGAGCAGTGATTATGGGACCGGTGACAGTCCAGAGGGCAGCCTGGCTGGCCCAGGTTCCAGGGCTGTCAGCAGATCTCGATGTCGATCCAACCCACAGAGGACATACAGCTGGGAGAGACAGTTCATAGGTCAGATGGCAAAACCGGTCACAATCCGGATCTCAAAATCTCTTTAAAAGGATGAAGTGGAGCTGACTGTAACAGGATGAAATCTGATAGTGATGGATCCAGAAAACCACGCCACAACGCAGGGGACAGAGGCTTAGTAGCAGCACAGGTGGAAAGGATTTGGGGGTTTCGGTTGACTGTAAGCTTCACCTGAGTTAAGGGTGTGACCGTTGCCAAGAAAGTTCTTCGGCTTTATTGGAGAAGGGTAGGTCAGCTCTAGACAACACACTTTAGGAGGGGTACTGGAAAACAGCCAAAGGGAGCTTATTTGGGTGGACTTGAAACCAAGCTGTAAGGACTGGTTAAAGGACCCACGGATGGGCAGCCTGACAGCAGGGGGACGCAGGGCGGCAGCACGGCATTTACAGTATTGGAAAGGGGGTCACGTGGCTGAGGAAGCCACCCTGCTCTCTTGAGTCTCTGGAGTGGCTCTCTGTTGAGTATAACAGTGAGGACTGAGTGCGAACGGCAGCTCGGATTGTCTGGGAGCAGGTGGCCTTGGGGGGCAGTGAGGTCTTTGTGTTCAAGCTTGAGAGGGATAAGTTGTTGGGGTTCAGGCATAAAATAAAGAGCTGGCCCAAGCGAACTCTAATTCTGAAGCTTTCCGGGAACCCGGGGAAGAGGGCCCTCTGTGTCCCATTGGGGTCCATGTGGGTCCTTTGAGGACGTGGCAGAGTTGACTGGCGGCTCATTTACCCCTCCATTCTACTGGGATATTCTGCCAGCTCCGCCCTAGAATACAGGCAGTGTTCATCCTTGAACTGTCGGTCAAGTTCTCAGGACTGGCCGTTAGATGGAGGAGATTAACTTTGTGTAGGGGAAGGCTAATGGTAAGGGGGTCCAGAGTTTGCTTTCCCTGAGAGGAGCTACGACCCTTCACCTGACTGCATCCAAAGGGTAAAACTCTTTTGACCCCGAAGTTGCCGTGCTGCCCGCACCTGAGCTGTGGGTGCTCCAAAAGCCCTCAGAGGTCCTCATCTTAGCTTCCATGCGGGGTGATCTGAGAGTCAGCTGGGGCGATGATGGAGTGGAGCCAGCCCCAGGATGGGAATAGGGATCTCTCTCTGTCCTTGGGCACCCGGTCTGCTGCCCTAACCCTGACCACGTTTCCCTATTATAGCGAGAAGCTTCGACCTGCAGAAGTCCGAGGCCATGCTCCGGAAGGTGAGATCCGTTTGGCTCCAAATCCCACTGTTGCCTCCGTTCCTGCCCATCAGAATCAGATGGTGCTTGGGTTTCTTTTGCCCAACCCCACCCACTCGATCACAGCCTGTGGCTTGTGTAACATATCTGAGTATTAGCCGACCACTATTGCCTTATCCCTCTGGGACAAAGGGCATTCCCTTCCCTGGAAACACAGAGCTTTCACAGTTCTGGGCCAGCTAAGAATTATAATCTGTTCAGCCGAGACCTCTAAAACAGGCAGTGCTTTCTTTTCCATTCCTGCCAGTTGCCTTCATGTGACTTACCTGTGGTCTGGGGGTCTGTTCGTGCTGTCACCTATTGCTAGATGCCTCTTAAGGGGTCCCCTCGCCCCCGGTTTTTAAAGCCCTGATTGTGTGTTTGCAGCATGTGGAGTTCCGAAAGCAAAAGGACATTGACAACATCGTGAGCTGGCAGCCTCCAGAGGTGAGGACAAATGATCCTGCCCCGCCCTATGAGGTCTGTTAGACCCACAATCTGCGTCTTGGGTCTGTCAGACTGGGGCCCTCAGAGGAAAGGTCTGACAAGGCCTAGGGAGCCCTGGTGGTTCCCAGAATGGGTATCCACTGGCACCCAGGGGAGGGCTGTGGAGAGCGAGTTGACGAACCCAGAGGAAGGCCCTGGGATACAGGGAAGATATGGCCGCCCTGGGCCTGCTGACCAGGTGCCTGCTCTCTGTCTTTGCCCAGGTGATCCAGCAGTATCTGTCAGGGGGCATGTGTGGCTACGACCTGGATGGCTGCCCCGTCTGGTACGATATCATTGGACCGCTGGATACCAAGGGTCTGCTCCTCTCAGCCAGCAAACAGGACTTGCTCAGGACCAAGATGCGGGACTGTGAGCTCCTTCTGCGCGAGTGTGCCCGCCAGACGGACAAGGCGAGTGGACCAGCAGGGTTGAAATGAGTTCATCATGGGAGACGCGTTCGAGCAGGAGCAGGAATGTCACACAGGGGTTTAAGTACAGCCTCAGGGCTGAGGCCTAAGACATTTGGATTTCATAAACCAGTGAAATTTCAAAGTTTGAGAGACTGACATATGTTACCAAATTTTTATTTTTCTAAGTAGGGACTTAAAAAAAATTGTATCAGCTACTCTTGCCGTAATTAACCCCCAAAACTATAGGAATGGCATAATCTCAAAATAAAGGGCAATCTTTTGCATTGAATAAATTTAGCTTCACAAAGAATTTACGACATTATCGTTACTTTTCTCATTTATCTGGGCACCAGTGAAATCTTTGTCATGGACTACCCTATCTTTGGACAAGTATTTGGGTACTGCTGGTGTAGATGAGCTCCGATTGTGTGCTGCTTAAACTCTGTATTGAAAACAAAGATAAGGACAGCTGATTTCCTTACTGAGAAAAAGACGGAAGAGCAAGCTGGAGCTGCCACCATGATCTTCTTCCTTGTTTCCTCTTCAGCAGTTGAAAAGATCCGGGGAAACAGCGTCATTTGTTTGGGAACATTTCAACACTGTCATCCACAGACACTCACTGAGAGCCGCATGTGTGCGAGACCCTGCAGGGCTGGGGATGCAAAGATTAGATGGGATGTGACCTTAAGGGCTTAGGTTGGACAGGGAGCATCTGTGCCTAGGGAAAAGTGGCCGCACGGGACCCCACAGCTGAGCACTACCTGGGTGCTGCACACAGAGGAAAAAGGAGGCCACCACATCAAACTGCAGAACAGAAGGGACCTCACATGTAATCTACGTCCACCCAGTCATTTACTGATGAAGACACTGAGACCCAGGCAGGAAGAGTGACTTGCCTGGGCCATAATTTGGGCCTGGGGTGATTATCTTGATTTGGAAAACCCTAGGTTCAGCCCTGTCCAGATCTGGTTGCAATACGGGCACATGACACAATCAGCATTTGCCCTGGATCAGGGTGGGCTCCTGCAGTGGCACAGCCTGATGTGACTCTCTGCTCCTCTGTCCCCTGCAGGTGGGGAAGAAGGTGGAGACCATCACCCTGATTTATGACTGTGAGGGCCTTGGCCTCAAGCATCTCTGGAAGCCTGCCGTGGAGGCCTATGGAGAGGTGAGGGGCAGGGCTCGGAGGTGAGAGAGGGGGGGAGCGGGCCCCTCTGCTAGGAGGCCCAGTGGGATGGCTGAGGCGATAGGGGCAGAGTCTAGCCTGGAGGATGCAGGGCCTCTCTCTCTGGCACAGAGCTGTGAGGCAGCTGGACTCTGATTTTGTTTCCACAGTTTCTCTGCATGTTTGAGGAAAACTATCCGGAAACACTGAAGCGTCTTTTTGTTGTCAAAGGTATGTTGGGAAGTACCTGTGATGAAGCCAGATGGGAAAGGGGCCCAAAATATTACTGGGACAGATTCAGGAGAGTGAAACAGAGTGAGCCACAGGAGGGGTGGAAGGCCTCGTTCAGAAGACCGGCCTAGTGGCCGGCCCGGTGGCGTAGTGGTTAAGTTCACACGTTCCGCTTCTCAGCGGCCTGGGGTTTGCCAGTTCGGATCCTGGGTGCGGACATGGCACCGCTTGGCACACCATGCTGTGGTAGGCGTCTCACATATAAAGTAGAGGAAGATGGGCATGGATGATAGCTCAGGGCCAGTCTTCTTCAGCAAAAAAGAGAAGGATTGGCAGCAGTTAGCTCAGGGCTAATCTTCCTACCAAAAAAAAAAAAAAAAAAAGACCGGCCTTGACACATGCAGACCACTTTACAATTCACAGACCTTTTAGGATTTGTTACCTCCTTTGAGCCCCCCGCTTTGGAAGATAGGAAGACTATACCTGCTTGACTCTACCCCCTGGACAGACGGGGAAGCTGGGACTCAAGGAGGTGCCCATGCCGAGCCTCACACCCTGGGAACTAGGGAATGTGTGGCCTGACACGGGGGGCTGTGAAAGACACTGTTAGGGACAGAATGGGCACCATTCCTGGCCTCACGTCTCCTTGTCTCTGTTCCAGCCCCCAAGCTGTTTCCTGTGGCCTATAACCTCATCAAACCCTTCCTGAGTGAGGACACTCGTAAGAAGATCATGGTCCTGGGGGGTGAGTAGGCCCGACTCTTCTCCACTCCACAAGATGGTCTGTGGCCCAAACCGAGGATGGCTTTAGAGGTGTGGCCGTAGCCACCAGGGTGAAGGCTCCCTCTGCTGGTTTGGTAGCAGTGGGACCCAGGAGCAACCGGGGCCAGGCTAGAGTCTTCCTGTCTGTTTCCATAAGAATACTTTCTCTCAGACATTCTAGAAGAAAGTATTGGGCTCAGCATCCAAAGATGAGTGATGCCCATCCTTGCCCTCGGGGAGCTTACAGTGTAACAGGAAGGAGAAGCCCTTTAGAGAGGAAGCTAGGATAGAAATTAGAAGAGGTACCAGGAATGGTGTAGAGAAGGTGCCAGGGAGGTCACAGGAGCAGAGGTTGCTTTCAGTTGGGGGCAACTAGGAATGGCTTCCTTTAATGAGCACCTACTGTGTGCTGAGTACTGGACTAGATGCCGAGGCTACAAAGATGAATAAGACAGAGTCCCTTGAAGAGCTCTTAGCCTCTTGGGGAAGGGAGACACAAGCAGACGTCTATCAGCATGATATGTTAAATATACAAGAGGGGGATGGGAAGGTGTGTGGGGAGGCCCAGCAGGGGCACCCACCCCACGTGACCGAGGGAGGAGCTGGTGCCTACCTGGGCTGGGTGTTGCGGAGCCAGTAAGAGGCAGCCAGATGACGCAAGGCAGGAAGAGCAGCACTGAGCAAAGACCTTAGGCACCAAGGTTGTGGTTGTTGTAGAGGCAGGCAGGGCGTGGGAAGAGATGCGGCTGGAGAGGGAGCCCGGAGCTGGGTCACAGAGAATCCAGGGCACCATGCTGAGAAGCTGGGACATGACTCCACAGGCCACTGGGAACCAGAGAAGAGTTCTGAGCAGCGGACTGCCAGGATCAGATTTTCAATTGAGACCCATTGTACCGGCAAGATTGTGCAGGACAGACACCAGTCTGCACGCCACGGCCACAGTCCGTGCAAGAGGTGTTTCAAGCCTGAGCCGGGACACTGGCAGAAGAGAGAGAGAGGAGGGCATGGATTTGAGACTTACTGAGGAAGTGAAACAGCAGAACTCAATGGACTGGATGTAGGAGGAGAGGAAGAGAAGGCTAGAATGACTCCCTGGTGTCTGGCGTGAGTGACTGAGTATTGCAGTCACTCTGATGCAATTAGTTACTCGGAGAATAAGCTTGAAGTTGAGTTTGAGTCGATGAGATAGACAGATGTTGGGGACACTTGAGCCTGAAGCTTGGGAGAAAACTGCAGTCTGGAGATTTGGGAGTTATCAAATATAGGCAGCAGCGAAAACCTTGAGAACAGATAAGACTGAACAGAGGCTGAACCCTTGGGAATATCCAAGCTCAAGGGTAGGCAGGGAAAGAGGAACCCAGCAGGTCAACAGGGGATTGGATACGCAGAGAGGACATCGGGGCGAGGGGAAGGCCGGCAAGGAAGACGCACAGGAATCAAGCCAGCCAGGGACAGGCACAAGTCGAGTTTTGCTGGAACATTAAGTGGAGTGGTGGGAGAAAAGGCTAGAAAGGTAGATTAGGCCTGGCTCATGGAAGGCTTGATGCCACCTATGGAGTTGAACTTGCGGGTAGGTAATACGGATTCTGAAGGTTTCTGAATGTTCACCTTTAGGCAACACATTGAAAGTGGAGATTTTCCAGGTGTGTGCCAGTGAGCCCTGGGAGTGGACTGAGGCCGTCTGGGTTCTGGTCCCAGCTCCGGCAGCTTCTCGTTGCCTCAGTTACTCTCTCTGTAAGATGGGAAGACTCCTCCTGGCCTTGTTCCACCTCTCCAGCTGAGCTGGGGGAAGAAAGACAAAATCCGAGCAAAAGGCTCTGATGATTTTTGGCTTTTCTGCTGCTGCCACCCACCATGAGCATGAGACAGGTTTCCTGGCAGCAGAGCTGTGGAGGACGTTCAGTCTGTTTTCCCACCCACACCTGAAACCCTTTCAACCAAACCCGCCTCGGGCTGAGAAGGTACAGGGTCTTCCAAAGACGAGGGAAGCGATTCACTCTGGGCTGGTCAGTGGGGCTTAGCAGCCCAGATCAAATCACCCGGCGACCACAGACACCGTGTTCCAGGAGTTGCATGGTCTCAGGTCCCTAGAAATCTGAGGGCTGGGAGACCCTGGACCGTCTCTGGGTTTCCAGCCGGCACCAGCAGCAGAGGACACTGGGTTCCACCCCATGACATGAAGCTGCTGCCTATATCTGGTTTCCAGTATTAAAACCTCGTATTCGGCTGATAACCTGTTTAGGAATTTGAAGTGGTGGAGAAGCGTTTCTCAGCATTGGTTGCGCTAGCTTCAAACTCTCCTTGTCAGAAAAGGGCTTGGTTATAAAAAAAATGAACCAAATCACTGGCAGCTAAACAGCCTAAAACAACAGGAGCAGAAGTGAAATGGTGGCTGGGGCAAAGCCACGGGAACCCATTTAAGGGATGACTCTACAGTGACACATTCACTTAATTAGTCATGATTGAGCTCGATGGTGTGTAGGTGACAGTAGGGCATGAGACACGTGGTCGTGTTCTCACAGAGTCAGTCTGACCAGGGCAAGTCCTGTTGATTCAGGCCCTCTGGGCTGCTGCACATGCTGTTCCCTCTGTGTGGAATGCCCTTCTCTGCTTTCTTTGTTCCCTCCTGCTCACACTGCAAATGTTTGTATCACCTTCCTGGGAGTGACAGTACATTTGCATATGTGTAGGGAACTATACAGTTTGCAACACCCTCTCAAGTCCTTAGTTCACTTCTGTCTCACTGTAACCTTGCAACTAGGAGCAACTAGGCTCAGAATGAAGAGATTTGCCTAAGGCCGCTCAGCGGGCCAGAGGCAATGGGGACAGGGCCCCAGTCTCCTGATTCCTGGGGCAGGGCAGGGCAGGGCCCTGGGTGACGGCTCCTCTTGAACCCCCTGCAGAGCTGTGTGCCCATCACATGCTCCTAAAGCCCGTGTTTTGCGTGCGGGGGTGGATGGGTTTTTTTCTGCCTCTTGTGCGCATGACCAGGGCTGTGATGCAGTCTTGCCTAGTGCTGACCCTTCTTGCTCCTTCCTTCCCTCTCCTGCCAGCAAACTGGAAGGAGGTTTTACTGAAATACGTCAGCCCTGACCAGCTGCCTGTGGAATATGGGGGCACCATGACCGACCCTGATGGAAACCCCAAGTGCAAATCCAAGGTATGGGCCGCCGGGGGCCGGAGGTGACCAGGGAAGCCTGGCTCAAGTACACATTCCAGCTCACTCCTTGCTCTGCTTCTAGATCAACTATGGGGGTGACATCCCCAAGAAGTATTACGTGCGAGACCAGGTGAAACAGCAGTATGAACACAGCGTACAGATTTCCCGGGGCTCTTCCCACCAAGTGGAGTATGAGATCCTCTTCCCCGGCTGCGTCCTCAGGTAGGGTTCTGGGCCCTTCCGGGAGACCTGAGCCTTTCAGCTGTAGGTGCTGGTCGGTGGGCTGGGGTGGGAGAAGCCTTGATGGAGAACCCCAGAGGGGGCGCACACAGATGGAATCATGTCTAAATGGGTGGATGTCCCCTGCAGGTGGCAGTTCATGTCAGATGGCTCGGACATCGGTTTTGGGATTTTCCTGAAGACCAAGGTGGGGGAGCGGCAGCGGGCGGGGGAGATGACGGAGGTGCTGCCCAGCCAGAGGTACAATGCCCACCTGGTCCCTGAGGATGGGACCCTCACCTGCAGCGATCCTGGCATCTGTAAGTATCCATGTCTTGGCTTGAAGCCCCTGCTCTAGCTGTCTGCCTGTGAGGTCCTCTTTCTCATGGATTTAGGCTGTCAGACGGTTAGAACTAGACGTGGGGCTCCCTCAGTTCAACCCTCTGCTTGCATAGATGCGGAAGCCTAGTCTTGGAGAGGTGAATGACTTGCTCGGGGTGACCCAGCTACTTACCACCGGGTGGGACCCTGACCGGATACTCCCAGGTAGAGGTGAGTCAGCTGCGAGGTGATCACAGGGATTCAGAGCATCTGCTCTCTGGTCCAGGTCTGACTGGGTCCATCGCTGTGACCAGACAGTTCTTGGGGATGCACCTTCCCCAGATGGCAGAGCGGCAGAACCGGCTGGGTGGGTGTAGGATCCCAGGGTGAGCAGACTGCTGGAAAGCCCAGCCCTGACCCCTCTGAGAGTCACTCATCTCCAAGTTGATCAAAAACTGGGCACAGGATGTGAACAGGAAGTTCACCTGAGAGGAATAAAAATGGCCACTAGGCATTTGAAAGGTATACACCTCACTCAGCTTTGCAGTATCGATTAAAATTCCCTTTGGCTCAGCAATTCTACTTCTGGACGTTTATCCTACAGCAATATGTACACAAAGACACAAAGAGATAGGTACAAGGATGTTCCTAGCAGCCTGGGAAGCTGGCAGTAAACTAAATGGCTTTAATAAGGTCTTGTTAAATAAATGAGGGTCCCTCCATACAATGGAATACAGTATACCCGTTAAGGAGAATAAGTTGATGTGTGAGATGTCTGGTACATGTTCAAAAAGTAAAGCATGAAATATAGCACATATAGTATACACTCATTTTGGTTAAAAAAAAAGTGTACGTAGAAAAGAATTCTGGGGAATCTATGCTGACTCCAGTGGTGGTTATCTCTGGGGTGGTAGGAAGCTTATAGAGGGTTTTCATTTTTTACACCACTTCTGCAAACACAATTTATTTTACAATGACCATGTACCACATTTATGAGCTGAAAAACCACCGACACACACAAAAAAACCCCATCAACTCTCCAGTTTCCTTTCTGTCAGAGCCAGTGGGCCAGGCGTGGACAATCAATGAGAGCCAGGGCTTTCCTGCCAAGCCGAGTTGGACTTGTCTGCTGACTGGTCCTTAGGCACGTGACCTTGCCTCTCTGGGCTTCAGTTTGCTGACTGCTACCATGGGGATCAAATCTCTACCTCATAGGGTCACATGATGATTAAATGTGATAAGGTCTGCGCCGCATAATGCCTGGTGGACAGCAAGCACTCAACATCCTGTAGCCACCATTATTATTACCAAGGTGAGACCTGGGGGAGAAGGGCCATCCCGGAGAAGGCGCTGGAGACGGGAGAAGCCCTGTGCCCCTTTTCTACGGCAGCAGCGCCGGGAGATCTGAACTAGCCCCACAGATGTCTCGGCCTCCATACTTGTCCACACCATCACCCCAGCCTCAAGTTCTGTGTCCTCCCCCACTTCCCAGGCAACCGTGAATCTCTACCGCCCCCTCCTCACAGATGCTCTGTGTATGGCTCCCCGGGGAGGAGGAGTATTCTTGTTAGTAAGCAGCCGGGTCCTGGGGGAGAAGGCGTGTATGGTGTGCTTCAGCAAGAAGGCGGCCTTAGCACCAGCCCAGATACTGTTATCCACAGAGCGTAACGCACTTTTTGTACATATGAGCTTGAATTTCTTTTTTTAAGAGACAGGGAAGCTGAGGAGAAGGGATGTTAGCTCTTCCACAAAGTAGCTGGCATAGACACCAAAAGAGAGAAGACAGCAGAGAATCCTAGGGTCCTGGTCCAGGATCTCTTGGCCGTAGACTATTCTAGAGATGGTCAGGTCTACCCCTGATGTGACACAAGAGAGAGTGGAGTCCCAGACCAACGAGGTAATTTATTCAAGATCACACAGCCAGTAGCAGAACCCAACCCATTTTCCAGCACTGCCCATTGCCCTCGATAGTCCCTGAAGGACACAGCCCGAGAAAGGACCAGGAACCTCTGAACATAATGAGGCTTAGGTTGGCAAATCCCAAATTTATTTCAGCTCCTCCTAGATACGTTCCCAGATGGAACGGTTGTCTGCCTGCGGGGCCTTGACTAGGAGCTGCTTGTTGTTCATTCCCAGGAGGAGCAGAGGCAGCCATGCCCCCTTCCCAAGTGTAACGACAGTGGGGTGGGATCAGCTGTTGTCTGGGGCCATGGCTCAGCTTAGGCCTGAGCCCGGAGAGAACCCAGTGTGAGGATACAAGCTCACTTGTGGGAGGGCAATGCCCTTGGAGAACCAGGTGACCCCCTGCAAAGTGGAACATAACCACCGAGTGGAGAAATTTGAACTCCATGCCAGCCTCCAATGGCAGGAACACATTGACCCTCCCCAGGCTGCTCTGGGCCTCACCCAAACGTGCTCAGTACCTTTGGTGGAGACCCAAAGTCTGATTTGATTCCACTTTTACTCTCCACTATTTCCTAAGGGCCTACTGAGCGTAGAATACTCTACTAGGAAAGAAAAAATTTCAGAAAGAAAGATCTAGACTTTCTCTGCCAGGAATGCACAACGTGGTCTAGAAGACTCGGAACAGTGTATGAAGCTTAAACAGCTCTGCCGGGCAGAGCTGGGGTGAAGAGAGCCCAGTTGGTCTAGAGGCCTGGTTGCTGAGTCCAGCTAGTATTTTGAGCAAGTATCTCTGAATACAGTCATTCGTCGCTCACCATTGGGGAAATGTGTCATTAGGCAATTTCGTCGCTATGTGAACCTCACAGACTGCACTTATACACCTAGGCTCTGTGGTACTAATCTTAGGGCACCGCTGTCGTCGGCGCGGTCCATTGTTGACTGAAATGTCCTTATGCCGTGTGTGACTATAATTAGGTTTTGTTTTCCTTCCTCTTAAAATGAGGGGAGTGGGCTAGAGCAGGAGATCTTAGTCTGGGGTTCATGGACTCCCCCAAGCAGTGATTGTAAATCTTAAAGACCAAATCCCTCCCTTTTCTAACAGTGTCGAGATGTCCGCTTCACTGTTCTGAAATGAAATTCACAGATAATGTAACTCACCTACACACGTAATTAAAAAAATCAGTATGATCTCCTCTCTGGAGAAATAAAAGGAAGCTAATTTAGAATATATATACTTTTCAATACGTAAACGAGAGGGCACCATTATACCCACGCACCGCCCTCTCCAGAGTGGTACCTTGCCCACTGGGAACCCCTGCCCCAGAGGGCCCACGATAGGCTCCAGGGGATCTGAAATTGTGTGCTTTCATCAGATTCTCAAGGGGTCAGTTCCTCAACAAAAGTTAAGGAGCCCTGGCCTGGAGGATCTCTGGGGGCTCCCTGAGTCTGTGAGTACATGCTTAGTGTCAACATGAAGCATGTGGTTCATGAACGCCACTTCCCTCAGGCCTGGGCCTCAGAATATCACGCTGGGCAGAGCTGTCACCATCCTAGTGCTTGGACCAGTTGTGCAAAGACTTCTCCTCCAGCATGACAGACTCTGGTTGCTAAGGCTCTGTCATCCAGGGCGGAGAGGAAGCTTCCCTCTTTCCAGAGGGCCCATTGGTCCTGAAAGAGCTCTGGCACAGAGAAAATCGATGACTAACGCTCACTTCGCATCTTGAAGGAAGAGTGGGTGGTGTGTCTGCCCTCGCTCTAAACTATGCATGTTATCTAGGGGCAGGAAAAGACAAAGGTTAAATCTCAGGATTAAATACACAATTTTTTTTTTTTTTTTGGCTGAGTAGAGTGGGAGAAGACCAGGATAGGGGAGGGGCAGAGCTGGTGTTTTTGTTTTCACACTCCGTTCTCTTGAAGGGGTGTTTGACTGAAATGGGACACCTTCTCAGACAAAGAAGAGTTAGGTTAAAAGCCGTCTGTTCCTTGGCCAAGGCCTGGAAGCTTCTCTGCCAACTGCATGTCCATGTTCTCTCCTCAGAGGAAACCACCGCTAACAGGTCTTGCCTATTATCCTATCAAATATTTTCCATCCTTTTAGCAGCATGACATGTTTCCAGAACATACAGGACATGTACACACATGCATACATGCACAGGAATTACATCTGTCATTCAGTGTATGTTTGAAGGCATTTTGAAATTGTAAAACTCGTCACAGGATTTAGGAAAACTTTCCCTTTGGAACAAGACCCTGAGTAATACCATCAAAGAGAACTTGGGAATATAAGTAGATCAAGTAGCAAAGCCAAAAATTTTTTTTTACATATATATTGACAAAAATGTGAGAAACTATTTATAAGTTGTTCTGCAACTTGCTTTTTCGGCCTAAGGAGACATTGTGGACAGTTTCCCCAGCCACGTCTTACGTGATTTGATATCAGAATAGTATTTCATCATATGGATCGCAATATAAACCTTTTAAACAATTCACTTTTGACCATTTGAGTTTTCCCAATCTTTTATTATTTCCAACAGGGGTGCAGTGAACATCTCTGTCCATTTTATCCATTTATCTTTCTGTGGGATAAATTCCTGGCTCAGAAAGTTTGCTCATTTTAACTTTTGTCAGAAACTGAACAGAGGCAGGGCTTTCCAGGGTGCAAGTCAGGAGCAACGTGGACCGGGGGGAAAATTCCAGCTCCATCACTTCCTCATTGTGTGACACAGTGACCTCCTTTTCCTATAAAACAGGACTAATGCTGAACTCAGAGTTACTCTGCAGAATAGTGAAATATCATATATAGATTACCAGCCCAGTGCTGAGACACATAAATAACCGTTGTTACCATTACTATTATTATAATAACTGTGCTGCTGCTAATCCTATTCCTGCCTTTTAAGGCCCCATTCCCACTTCAAGCTCTAACTCCTCTAAAGAGCTTTTCCACATGATTTCAGTCTGTAGGGCCCTCTCTTTCCAAGCCGTTACGGACGTGGTTGTCTCTCTCACTCATCTGGCACGTGGCATGTTCTGTCATATTGTTTTTCCCTCTGTGAACATCTTGTCAACCCATCTAGACTGTTTCAGAAGGTGAAGGACCATCGCTTATGCCACCTTTGTCGTCATTACCTACCACAGTGCCTTGCTCAGCCAACCAAAATCGCTGTCCCCAAGCCCGCTGTCAGAATTGCCTGAATGTCTGGTTTTCTGCCTCCCCTCAGATGTCCTGCGGTTTGACAACACCTACAGCTTCATTCATGCCAAGAAGGTCAGTTTCACTGTGGAGGTCCTGCTTCCAGACAAAGCCTCAGAAGAGAAGATGAAACAGCTGGGGGAAGTCACCCCAAAGTAACGCCTCCTCCCACAGCAGGCCTGGCTCCCTCGTGTCTCCCTGTCAGTTTCTGTCCCTTGTAGCCGTCATTTTTCCAGCACGCTGATGCCCAGAGAAACTCGGCTGGAAGACAGACCTTGGGCTGGATCTGGGAGCTTTCATTTCAGAATAGGAAGAGGGAGAGTACAGGAGTGGGTCTCCTTGCCTGTCCTATTACTAAGGAGTCCCCAGGGGCTGGGCACCGTGATAGCATCTATCTGTCCTGTAAGCTGTGCCAACTTCACCTACCAGTGACAGCTGAGACAGGAAGGGGAGTACCGTGGGGTGGCAGCAGGGAAGACATTAGGAAAAGGGGCAGAGGTCGAAACCTAACACTTCAGGGAAGCCAGCAGCAGGTGAGGAACTTGCTCCCAAATGAACGTGTAAGTCTAGATCATAATGAAGAATAGCAAGGTAGCTAGAGTTACCGGGGGAGTCAGAGCTTCTTCTAGACTTTCTGTCACCGAGGCTGGGATCTTTTGGCTTTTCCCAGGTTTCAGGAGGTGGCCCGGAGTCAGCATAGATCTTCCCACTCTGGCAGACGGCAAGCCTCTCCCTCAGCTTGAGAACTGCAGCAACTCCTGGGTCCCTCCCGTTGGCTGCCTCTTTAATTACTAACGACTGTCAGTGACTCAGAGCTTCCTGGGGCTGTGAGCTTTGGTACTCAGCCACTGTCCTCTAATGCAAACAAAGCACAGGGAAATTCCCTCCAGGGACCCCAGCTCCGAGGAGGGCCAGGGGGCTGGGGTGGGTGTGAGACCTGGGGCTCCCACTCTCCTTTTCAGTGCCACCAGCTTCTCATCAAGTAACTCCGTTTGACCACCCCACACAAAAACGAGAAGTGGGATCAAGGCAGTAGGTCTCAGTGAGGGTATTTCCCAGTCTGAGTCTCGCGCCATGCCTGCCAACCCGTCTCCTGACTGACTTGAGCAAGGCGTTGGCGGTTCCCTCTCTGTGGGAAGCGGATGGTGGTGCAGTGGGTTCCTGGTGCCTGGCGGGGAGGCTGCCCGGGCAGGGGGCCAAAGGCCAGGCCACATCTGGCAGAGCCAGGGGCTGGGAGCAGCCACAAATAGCCGCAGGCGCCGAGCCCCTCCGCCCACGTGACAAGTAGGGACGGCCGTGGGGGCGCTCAGCGACTAGCGGCTGGAGGGCACCAACTCTGCTGCCACCACAGCGCTTGCAATCCTGCGTCCTGCACACGTGCACCAGGTCCTGGGCTGCACAGAACACGGGAAAGCGGCCGCGCCTGGGCCCTCGCAGGACCTCCTGTCTCTCCGAACCCCAGGCCCTGGGTCGGCCTGGGAGCTGGTCTGGCGAAGCGGAGGGAGCACGAGCAGGGCCAGGGCAGGCGCGGATGGGAGGGGGCCCGCGGCTGCAGGGGCCCCAGCCAGACCCCTCAGGAGGACAGCCCGATCTCGGTTTACAACGCTTTGTTAGGAAAGTTAACCAATGAATAAAGCAACGTTCAGTGCACAGAAAGTGGAAGTCAATGCCCACCACCTCGCTCCTCGCTGCCCCTCGTTCAGACCCCTACACTTCGACCTCAGGCGTATAGGAGCGTCCACGCGCGGAAGCCGGGGCGCATGCGCAGAAGCCCTCCTGGCCGCCATCTTTACTAAGGGTGCTCCTGCCGCCTTGGCTGCCAGGGCGGAGGCCCCGCCCCTTCGGGCGTCCCGGAAGCTTCCTGCGTGCCAACGAGTGCGGGTGCGGCGGGTGCGGGCAGCGCTGGCTGGGGGGCCCTGATTGGGAGGGAGGCCGAGCAGCGACGATCACGTGGTGTTAGGGACCGTCTCCCAATTCCGCGTCAGCACTGCCGGTGTTTCGGGGGCTACGGCTCGCTTTGAACCAGAGCCCAGATTCCTGGGAAGTCGCCCCTCACTGGGCTGGCCTACAGGACGCTACAATGACAGAAACGCCCAGGCCCTCAATAGGGAGTCACTGGTCTTCATTTTCCCCATCTCTATTTGATGATGATAAAAGCTAATTCTTTAATGAGTGCCTACCGGGTACCCACGCTACAACCGTGCGCTTACCGCCTTGGGTTGTTGCAAAGATTCAAGGAAACAATACGTGCAAAGCGCTTAGAGCAGAGCCTGGTACTAGTGAGCGCTCAGTGAGTATTGATTATGCTTATTTTTTACAGACGTGGTTAACAGCTAACTGGCAGCACAACTGGGGTTTAAACCCAGGACTGCCAGCCTTTAATGGCTGCGCCTTTGCTCGGTGATACCGGAAAAGGATTCACAGAGCTGTCGGGAAGTGCACGCGTTGCTCACATGGGTAAACTGAGGTCCAGCAGGGGAAGAGTTTCCTCCATAGTAATCACTAACTCCCAAGTCCATTCTGTTCTGCTCATTTCCCTGAGTCTTGTACTTCAACCCTTCATTCATTCATTCATTCATTCATTCATTCCTGTCCCCAAGAGGCTCAGTCTGGGGGCACACGATCCAGTTAGACCCCGGGGCTTGATAGATGAACATGGCGCCTGCCGGGAAGGGACTCTAGAGTCCGAGCAGCCACCTCACGGGGGTGCTGACCACTCACTCCCCCAGCCTCATTTACTGAGCTCACCTAGGAGCACGGGGATCTGGAGCCCCACTGCCTGGGTTCAAATCCCGGCTTCACCACTTGGCAGCTGTATGACCTGGGAAAGGGACCCTACTTTTCTGTGCCTCTATTTCCTCATCTGTGAAATGGGAATCCCAGGCTAGGGGCGGGGGAGGGGGGCGAGGGTTAAAGAAGCAATCCGTTTAGTCTTTAGCCAACGATCTGGCTGGTAGTAACCTCAATAAATGATGACTGTTATAATTCATCCACGCCACCGTCCAGGGAATGGATGCTGTAGTGTCCCCCATTTAACAAAGTGAGGCTCAGAGAAGTTCAGATTCTTGCCCGAGGTCACACAGCCAGGAAGGGTAGCATCCTGCATTTGAACCCCGTCTCTTTGGCTCCAAAACTACAGTCGGTCCTGGGAGAGAGAGGATCGCGCCGACAGCTCAATCCCAGAGAAAACGTGAAGAAAATTAGTCTGTAAAACGTAAGCGCGGAGAGGGGCTTCAGTGCGCGAGGGAATTTGCAGACGCTCCCTGCTGCTGGCGGGGGACAGCACGACCTGCCCTTCAGTTAGGGACCTTTAGCCTACCAAGCGCTAGTGGAAGCCGAGGTGGCAGCGGCGGCAGGACCGGCTGCAGAGGCTGAGGCCGAGGCGGAAGCGCCATGTCCGAGCCGCCCTCGCGGGGTGCCGAGCGGGACCTTTTCCGGGACACCTGGGTGCGGTACCTAGGTGAGCGCCGGGCGAGGGCGTGCGACGACCCCACCACCACTACCACGTGCCTGGGGAAGCAGGGGTCACCAGACGCCGGTCAGGGAGAAAGTGGGAGGATCTTAGTTGTCATTCGGCCTGGCCCGGAGACTGGGCTCAGAGAGGGCTAGGGACTTGCCCAAGGTCACCCAGCTCTCTGGTCGGCCCATCCCTGCTCTCAGGATCTCTGCTGGTCGGTCTCCCAGGTGGAAGCTCGAATCGAGCTAGGAGGAACAGGGCTGCTGTCTCTGGCACGCCCCAGCACTGGCTGGCGGTGGAGTCAGGGCTCTGGACTCCATCTCAGCTTCTCACTCACTGCCTCTGCCTGAGCCTCAGTTTCCTCCTGGGCAAAAAGGGATGAACACAGGGTCTCTCTCATCCGGTGGTAGTTGTAAGGGTAGCATAAGGTAAGGCACAGAAAGGCCTGGCACACCGTGAGTGCCCAGTCAGTGGGGCTGCCCTTGGTCAGTCTCTCTTGCCGCCTGTTCGCCCATTAGTGTGGATGCTTCTGGAACCCAGGCTGGGAAGGCAGATGAGCGATGATAACGGTGACTGTACTGGGTTCTCCCACCATGGCCCTAGAGGGAGGTGGGCCTCATAGGTGCCATGTTGGAGGCTGGGAAACTGAGACTCAGAGAGGGAAAATCACTTGTCTAAGGTCACCCAGCTACTGCTTAGCAGGCTGGGATGAGAACCAGTTCACACAAGAGCCCGCTGTGGAACAATCGATGGGCCTGGGAATTGAACGTCCCCTCCCCACCAGGCTACGCCAATGAGGTCGGGGAGGCCTTCCGCTCCCTGGTGCCAGCAGCTGTGGTGTGGCTGAGCTATGGTGTGGCCAGCTCCTACGTGCTGGCCGATGCCATCGACAAGGGCAAGAAGGCGGGCAAGGTGAGTGTTAGCCCTCACCCCCCACCCCGGTCCACTCCCCCTTGATTCAGTCCACTGCCTTGCACGTGGTAAAGTCTCTTGTGGGACAGTCCAGTCCCCACAAGCTGGCCTGGTGCAGTCCCTACCCCAGTCCTGTTTGTAGGACAGTGTACCCCGGCCCCAGCCCTGCATGTGACATGGTTTATACCCCCGTCCACCCCCAGCCGTAAAAGTGGTATGGTCCACAACCCAACACTAGTGTGGTTCTGACCCTGTCCCCTACTGGCCACTTCCCTCTCCCTGGTCCAGACTCATGTCCCTTGTCCTCAGGGTTTCCCCCCTCTGCCCCTGCTGGATTAAGTGTCTCTTGTGACCACCAGGTGCCAAGCCCTGAAGCAGGCCGCAGCACCAGGGTGACCGTGGCCGTGGTGGACACCTTTGTGTGGCAGGCTCTGGCCTCTGTGGCCATCCCAGGCTTCACCATCAACCGCGTGTGTGCTGCCTCTCTCTACGTCCTGGGTACTGCCACCCGCTGGCCTCTGGCTGTCCGCAAGTGGACCACCACCGCTCTGGGGCTGCTGGTCATCCCCATCATCATCCACCCCATTGACAGGTGGGTGCCCCTCTCAGCCTCAAGGATTATCCACTCAACAGGTGGAGATAAGGTCTGAGAGGCGTGGGGTGTGCCCACTTCGCACAGAACAATAGCAGCAGAGGCAGAGCTGGCACTCAGGCCTCCTGACGTAGAAAAGACAGTCTAGGCCCTTGCTGTGTGATCTGGCAGGTACTTTGGCAATAAAAGTAGGGGAGTGCCCAGAGGATATGGGACACAGGACAAGTAAGTTCCCGCAAAGAAAATCTCGTGTTGCAAAACAACCAGAGGCAGGCAGGAAACAAGTGCACCGTGGATGGGTTTGGGCAGGTTTTAGTGATAGAAACTCAACTGAAACTGGGTTAAGTAAAATAGGAATCAATTGTTTTATAAAACTGAAAAGTCTGCAGTTATGCTACTTTCAGGCGTGGCTGGATCTAGGCACCCAAATGATGTCATTAGGGGTCTGGATCTCCCCATTCTGCTGCCTTTCTCCCCACCCCACCCTGTGTTGGATTCACTCGCTTTTCCCTTGTGGGAGTAGAGATGGACCCAGCAGCTCACAGCTTCCATCCCACCAGCTTAGCAAGCCTCATAGGAAGCTTCTTAATAATGACAGCAAAAGTCCCAAGGAAGGCTATCATTGGTCCATCCTGGACTGGGTGCCCACCCCCGAGCCAGTTTCCCTTTTCTGATTGGCCGGGCTTGGGTCATGTGCCTGCTCTTAGAACTGGAAATAGGGTCAACTCAACCAGATCAACGTAGAGTGGGAGGAGTCTTTCCCCAAGGGAACATAGCTGACCCTGAGGCCCTGAGTGAGTCTTCTACCCTCTCTGTGCCTCAGTTTCCCCAACTGAATAAGGAAGAGGATGATGGCTGCCACCTAGATGGCACTTGCATCCAGGACTCCCATCCCCAGCCCTGACCTGCTGCCTCCCGTTCCCCCATTAGCAGCCCTTGGTCACCTGCTCATCATCCTTCCCTGCCCCACAGGTCAGTGGACTTCCTCCTGGACTCCAGCCTGCGCAAGCTCTACCCCTCAGTGGAGAAGCCCAGCTCCTCGTGACCCCGCCTTGGTACCTGGCTTGTGGGTTGGCCCATCCCTGCTCTGTTCCAACTTCCTCCTCCTGCTGGGGGATGCAGATGCCTGGCTCCCTGGGGTCCGAGGCCCTGGCACCTGAGTGGATTGGAGCTGGACAGAACTGAGAGACCAAGGCCTCAAGGAGCAGCAGCCACAGTGCATCACAGTCAAGGGCGGGACCTGAACCCGTCTGCTTCCACGGGATCCATGATACTGAGTGGGAGTGGACCCGGGTGGGCCCGGCTCTGTCTTTTCTCAGGGAAGTAACATCCTCTCATGGAGGAGGAAACTGAGGCCCAGACAGGGCAGGGAGCATGGCCAAGAGCACTTGGCAAGCCGGGGATCCAGGACTCCCAGAGGCTCAGCCGCGTCACCCCATGGCAGCGCGGCTGGCTGGAGGACCCTGAGGACTGATTCTCCGGCCAGCCCATCCCTGGGGCAGGGGCTGCTGGGGCCTCAGTGGAAGGCAGGACAACTCTGGCCCAATAAATCCTCGAGAAATTGAGTTTTCTTCTCCTGTTCTGTTGGGGATGAGCAGGAATGTGGTGGTGGGGAGCAGGGCTTGGGGCCCCCTGAGGTAGAGACTGGCTTCTCACTGCCACTGCTCACGTGGCTAGCGCTGGGCCTGTCTGCTACCTCTGGTCCCACCCATGCTCCCCTGCAGGTGCCTGGGATGCCACCTCAGGGCTGCCAGCCTCCTTTGGGCTAGGCATTGCCCTCTTTCTGTAAGTCTCCTAAAGCATCCATACCTCTGGGACAGGAGCCTGTTGGGCAGTGACCCAACCCACCCCATTTGCCTGCCCCCTCCCCTCCGCCCCCACTCCTTGAGGGCGTAACGGGTTCTCCTGGTGGCTTTCCCTGAGCTGCTGGGCCTGGGAGCACTGAAGGGGACCATTCCTCCCCGATTCTGGGCCAGCCCCTTACTTTGGCAGCCAACAGCGCAGCGGGGGGAGGGGGGAGGGAGGGTGGGGCCGACCTGGACCTAGGTCCCTAGTACTCAGCCTTACCCCAGCAGCAAATCAGTTTAGGCCGAGATCCTGCCCCCTGAGAGACCACTTGTGCCTGGACAGTGACATTATAGGGGCTGCAGGAGGAGCAGGGCTGCTGGTGAGGCAGGATGGGGGCTCCGGGGTCGTGGCTCCTGCTCTGGCCGTGTCTGCGGCTGTAGAGTGAGTCTGACGGCCTGCCCCAGAGCTGGGGCTTCCTGAGGGGGCGAGCTGGGCCGTTCTCTGCTGCCCTTCTCATCCCACACTGGCAGGGTCCCTTTCCCAAGCCCCTCCCCACCTCGTGACCTCTGTTTAGTCTCCCGCTGCTCCCTTAAATGCTCTGGGCCCCCCTTGATTTTCCAGCCCTCTCTCTGCCACCTCCCACATTCCTCTTCAGCACCTTCCCATCTCCCCCCAGTGTCACAGGGAGACCAGGCCACACCCTCACCTGCATCCCTATGACATCTGAGTTCTGCCACCAATTCCTTGCTCACTTGCTCTCCACCTTCCTCCCTCCAGGCTTCCCCTAAACCTGGGAGCTGCCCGGGCCAGAGTTGGGCTTCTGTGCTCTCAGGTACAGTCTAGGCTCTTGGCTCTGCTCCAGCCTTATGTCCCTCCCTGTCACCTTCCCTCCTGCACCTCCAAGCACACTCTCCCCTCCCCCAGCTGGAAGTCCTTTTCCTCTTGGCTAACGCAGAGCATCTTTCACACCAGCCCCAGTGCCCCTCCGTTGTTGCCCCCCAGCTCTTCCCTGCTGTGGGCCCTCTCTGGCCTTGGCTGCCCTGCTGGTGGCCCTGCGTGGTGAAGAACTATTGGGGTGCAACTTTGCAGATGTCTGGTACATAGTAGGTGCTCCCATGAGGCGCTCTCAGGCCTTCTCAGGTCAGGCTGCTGGGGACAAGGTCTGCGGACAGCCTGTCTGGGTGGGGAGAGCTCCCTGCTCCATTCTGGAGATGCAGTTGTTGAAGAGGGGGCGTGTTCAGGGAGGTTTCTGGGCAGGCTCTGCTGGCCATGTCCTCTCTGAGGCTGTTCTCTGGCTACGTCAGCCTGGGCCAGACTGTCAGGGGACAGCATCCTGCAGGAATGCATTCAGATGGACATCCTTCTGGCAGTGAGCAGAGAGCCCCAACTCCATACCCACCACCTGCGCCTCGACACCTGCATGCCCTCCTTGGTCCCTGTTGTGCCTGGCTATGTGATTTTTGTTGCCCCATTCAAAGCTTGTGGCTTCATCCACTGGTGAGGCTCATGGGGACAAGGCTGCCAGGAGCCTGGGGGTAGCTGGGAGATTCTTGGGGGAGTGGGGCAGAGCTGAGGTGTCTGGGCTGGAGGGAGGGGTAGAGCGAGATCTTACTGACTTGCTCTGCTACCTTGGGCAAGTCACAGCCTCTCTGAGTCTCAGTTTCTTTCTCTAAAAGAAGCAGCAGCCTGGATGGCTACAGAATTGGGTAGGCGAGGGTGTGGTGCAGACTTTCATTTATCATCTGTGTTTACACATGCCCTCGACTTGTGTTATTAGTTCCTTGAATCCTCAACAGCCCCATCGGGAGGTAGAGCTATCATCCCCATTTTCCAGATATGGAAACAGGTTCACAGAAGGGAAAGCCCCGCTGTCTACCACCAGACGCAACTCAACACATCGTTCTCCAAAGCAAAACAGGCTTTTGAGCAAGGCAGGGATCTTGAACAGGAAACCAAGGCCCAGAGAGGGCGAGTGATGGGGGTGGCGAGCTGGGAATGTACTGTCCTGGCTTCCTGTGCCAACCTAAGAAGCTGGTGCCCCCTCAGATGTCGGGGAAGATGGTGGAATTCTGGTCTGCGCACCCCAACCTAGGTGCGCGGAGCAGCCCCCGTTGCTGCCTTCTGCCATCCAGTCAGCTGTCTCTCCAGGCGGGGAGCACTGCCCAGCGCCCCTTAGCCTGCCTTGGGGCCTGCCACCAGCCGGTCCCACAGGAGGAGGAAGGTGGGCTGCCCCTCCAACAAGCGGGCCGCAGGCACTGACCTCTGAGCCCCGTTGGTGTGAGCCTGAGGCCGAACTGGGCGGGCTCACCTGGGAGTTGGAATTTGGAATCCCGGGATCCTCCCAGCCTCTTCTCTTCTGTCCTGTCGCCTGCCCGGGCTGCCCCTGGGGACTTGTCATGGGCCTTCAGTGTTTGTTTTCTGGGGCGCCTCACACTGCAGACTCATATTAACCCCCTGCTGTGTCTCTGCCAGCCCGGAAGCTGCCACCTCACCCCTGGCCTCTGTGGTGACTGGGTACCTGGTTGGGGTTGGACGTCTGGACTTCAGCGTGCCACTTTGGCCTGGTTCACCCCTTCCTACAGGTGGGGGACATCAGCTGAACAGAGACAATGACCCAAGGGGAAGGGCCCCCAGCTCGGGGCTCCTGTGCCTCCAGTTCTGAGCTGGCCTACCTCTTACAGGAGTGGGGAGAGGTAGGGCAGGGGGGCAGGGCAGGAAGGGCACTGGGCTTCTGGAGACCTGGCCCCTTTTTGTCTGCTTCCCTTCTTGCTGTGTGGCCTTGGGCAAGCCCTTCAATATCTCTGGGCCTTGTGTCCTCCCTATCTGGTTTTCTTTCCAGCCCAGGATGAGGCCGTGCTGGAGGCTCCAGACCCAATGAATACCAGCACTGATGTCCTGGGCTCTGAGCTCCGTGCGGAACTTTCTGTGGTTGGCAGCTCCCATTGGCCCTTCCAGCTGTATGTGGGATTTCCAGCCCCAGCGGGGATCTGGAAGTGGCCCCTGAGCACTGCAGCCTCATCAGGCATCATGGCTATGGGACCAAGGGAAGGGGGATGTGGTAAGATGTAGTGTCTCTGGGAAAGCTGGGACAGGGGCTGGGAGCCTTCCCAGGACTAGAAGGGACAGAGGCCCAGAGGCTGCCCTCTGGGGGTTGTTGGGTGGTCCTCTCTAGGTCAGGGGAGCAAGAACCCCTTACTGGCCCCTTTACCTCTAGAGCCTCTGAAAACCTCATCTAATTTTCCCAATAATCCTATGCTGTAGATGAGTTCAGTCCCATTTTGTAGATGTGGAAACTGAGGCTTGAGGTCACACGGGCATGAGTTGAACAGTACTCCTGTCTTCTCTCCCAAGTCAACAGCACAGTCTGGGAGGCAGGGGCTGTTGCCCAGACCCTTCCCTCTGCCTGCTGGTGTACTTCCTGCCTCTCGGGCCCTGGCCAGCTCTGCCTCTCATACCAGGAAGCCTTCCCAGCTCGCTGACCCTGACGACGGGGACTCTGCTCATGGGGGTTTTGACGGCCACCCTGGGCGTGGGCTTCTGCGTCTTCACCCACTGCTGCTGGCCCAGGCCCAGAGCCTTGCAGCACGTTTAGCTGCAGGCCCCGGCAGTGGGGTCTCAGAAGCCCCCGACACTTACCAGGGCTTTCCAATAGATGTTCCCCAATGACTTTAGCACTCATGCTTTTGCTGAGGTGGGGCTGGGGAAACGAGGCTCCCAGGACAGGGGCCATGGTGGGCCTGCTGTGAGGTGATGCCCCTGCGCATGAGCAGAGCCTGTGCCTGCCCGTGTGGACTTGGGCGGGAGTGTGGGGTGGCAGGCAAACCTGTGGCCTGCCTGGGGGTGCCCGGCTCAGGGTGTCTCCCCCTCTGTTCCTTTCAGGTTTGCTCAGGGGCCCAGCAGCCCCCTAGGGCAGAGGTTGGGCCCCTTCAGGATGCCTGAGACCTCGGCCCATCTGGAGGTTTACGTTGCACAACCACTTGCTGTGGGCCGAAGAGTGGTGTGCGAGAGGCGCTCACAGGGACCAGAACCAATTTAACTTTCAGGAATTTTGTGAGCTGGCGGTTAAACATAGCTACTATTAAAAATTAAACAAGGGGCCGGTCCAGTGGCGTAGTGGTTAAGTTCGCATGCTCTGCTTCGGTGGCCAGCCCAGGATTCGCCGGTTCGGATCCCCGGTGTGGACCTGTGCACCACTTATTGAGCCATGCTGTGGCAGGCGTCCCACATATAAAGTAGAGGAAGATGGGCACGGATGTTGGCTCAGGGCCAGTCTTCCTCAGCAAAAAAGAGGAGGTTTGGTAGTAGATGTCAGCTCAGGGATAATCTTCCTCAAAAAAAAAAAATTAAACAATATGAAAAATTAAATGATATAAATTAGATTTAAATGCATTATATTAAAAATAAAAGTGGTAAAAAGTTCTCATCACAAGAAAAAAGTTTGTAACTGTGTGGTGGTGGATGTTAACTAGACTTATTGTGGTGATCATTTTGCAACATATACAAATATTGAATCATGTTGTATACCTGAAATGAACATAATGTCATATGTCAATTATACCTCAATAAAAAACAAACAGGTAACAAAACCCCAGGGAGTAAATACTCAAAACTTATTGCTTCTTCCTAATTATTTTGCTAGACTTTGCTATTACCTATGCTCCTGAGGTAATTTACACCTCTCTCTACATATACCCTACGACAGTGCACACCTGCATGTCACTTCTCAGCTCTGCTCAGTATCTTCTCTTGGTTGCTTGAAATAGGCCATGATGGGCAT